GGGGGGGGGGGGGGGGGGGGGGTTTTAAGAAAATTACGCGAAACTCGAACACAAACATAAAATAGTCCAACTAATTACACAGCCGTAGAGGTCTAAAGTCAATGTCCTTTGGGGTGCACGTGAGACGAAAAAAGAAAAAATAGTAATATCAAAAACAGAAAAACGCAAGGTCGGTAAAAAAAAGCTCCTTCCCCTCTCCACAGAAGCAGCTAATTTTGCTTTTTTAGCGCGCTGCTCGACACGTGTGCCCAATGATTATCCAGCTAGACTTGTGTGAAGCAGGCGAGAGGAGGGGTTGTGCATCACACGATCTATAGTTTTGCCCCTAAAGCAGCAATCTTTGTTGCTTCCCTTGATTCTCGGACACAGCTGATGCCATAACACTGTTCACGTATCCCTCAAACTACGGATGGTCCCGACGAATTCGAGCTAACTATGTACTGTATTTGCCCTGAGTCTTGTGGACTAAGGACAAAAACAATTTTTTAAGGCAGTAAACTTTACAATTAAGGAGAGCAGAAACAACACTATGATACTAGAAAGGCCAGTTTTTCCCAATACCAATTTTGAGAAGAAAACTACAAGGCTTTGTGTTCACTGATACAGTACTTCCATTTTCTTAACACAAAGAAAATAAATCTTAATTTTACTAAGAGTTTTACTGCATTTGCAACACAATACGGTGGTCATATAAAGTGACGAAGATGAGAAGAGATACAAGAGAGTAACAAACACAAAAAAGGAGGAGAGATAAGAACGTTAGATGTTTCTATAGGAAAGAAGCACCAAACCACACCAGAACGTCCACCAACCTGTGTGCTTCCGTTTAAAAACAGGCTCTTTTAGTTTGAGAATAAATAGATAAGACTTAAGACAAGAACAGGCACATGTGAAATGGGCAGAGAGCAGATTTATTACAGAAACTGAACTTACAGATGAGGAAAAAACTATTTACCAGTTTTGGCAGAAGTTTAAGTGAAAGAGAAGCACAGCAACAGTCAATGAGCAGGGAAAAAGAAAGATAGAAACAACAAAGGGGAAGGAAAGGGGCAGGATCTACAAGTAGTGCCGTCAAACAGGAGCCCCCCCCCCCTCCTTTAAAAAAAAAAACTATCTCTGTCCCCACATACAGCACACAGAATTATAACCAATGAGACACCTATCATTTCAACCAAATGGCAAATAATAATCTGCATCCCGGCAAAATGAAGTTTAAAAAAAAAGAAACCTGCAACTGCCCTGCAAAAGCCAGGAATCAAACCCACTTTGCACAAAAAGGGCTTTTTTTGCCCAATCAAAGGACAAACAGACATGCAGCATCACCGCAGTTTTAAAAGTATAGCAAAATTTCAGAACTCTCAACTTTACAAAAACAAAAAAGCACCATCTCCAGTCGTACCTCAAGAGCTTGCAGCTGCTCAGCTCGAGACCCCAGGTTCATCTCTGACTGCTTAGTCTTGGCCTTCATGGACGGCACAGAATCGGATGAGGAACTTCGCTCATCTCTGGGGTGGGGGAGGCATCACAACATACTTTATCACTGAAATATTTAGTTTTTCCACTTGCCCATTGAAAGTGCGGGATCAGACACACACTGAAGGTATTTTCAAAAGGGCATAACAACCAAATTGTTTTTATTTATATATTTTTTTTATAGTAGAGGGTTTTACGGCGCTCGCAACTGCATAAGGTCATATGAGCGCCAAGGGGTGGGTGTCAACAGAAAAGTCTTTACAGGGAATCAGACTTAGACTGCTCACCTCTCTAGCTTCAACAGCACAAGGTCTGCTTCAACCATCAAGGCACCCCGGAAATAGTCGGTCAAACATACAAAAGAAGTAGAAGAAAATGTCAAAAGTAAGGATCAGGAAAGAAAAAGCAGCAGTTCCCTGTTGTAGATCAGGCACAGTTATGAGCGTGACATGAGTCAGCCCATTTACAATTCTACTATGCTTGAACGAGAAATGTTTCCCCTTTGGGAATGGCCTAAAGACACTACAGTCAGTGGCACTGCCCCGGGGGGTGAACCAAATTGTGGGGTGTCAGAGTTTAAAGAGGCCCGTGTTCGTGCGCACGCCCTGCACACGTGTGTGTGTGTGTGTGTGTGTGTGTGTGTGTGTGTGTGTGTGTGTTGGGGTGAAGGAGTGGTAAGATGGGTGTAACCTTAGTATCCGTATTAGACTTCTACACATAAGAAAAAAAAATCATCTAAAAGAGACAAGTTAAACCACTTTATATTAATAATACTAAGCCATTCGGGCAAAATCAGGTGGGGGGGGGGGGGGGGGGAGGCATCACAACACACTTTATTATTGATATTGAAGTATTTAGTTTTTCCATTTGCCCATTGAAAGTATGGGATCAGACACACTTTTCAAAAGGGCAAAACAACCAAATTGAGGGGTGTCTAAAGAGGCCCGTGTTTGTGTGTGTGTGTGTGTGTGTGTGTGTGTGTGTGTGTGTGTGTGTGTGTGT